AGCTGATTAACTGAAAAACCGAGTAAATTTAGTTTATAATAAACACAAATTCTTTCTGTTAATTCTTCTGTTAATCTGATATTGGCCACTCAAAATTAACTCCGCACTCTTAAAAATAGTTGGTTCTTTATCTGTTTTTTAGCAAAGAAAATTGTTCTATTTAGCACTGAAAAGGGTTCTTCTAAGCTGGACACCGTAATAATAGCAGAACCCTTTTCTGAAAGGTTCAGAACCATATACAATACAAATCTGAAGAACCATCTCACCACGCAAAGAACCATTAAAGCATGCAGATTGTTATTTGAGTGTTCATGGTTCTATATAGAACCATGTTCTTTACTAAAGAACCCTTAAAGAATCGTATTTTTTTTAAACTGCAAATTTACTTTTTTTGTTAAACATATATACACACACACATTTATTATATACATATATATTTAAATTGTTCTTTGAGTTTTCATGGTTCTATATAGAACGATTTTATTTACAAAAGAACCCTTAAAAGAACCATCTTTTTTAAGAGTGCAGGTTTATTTATGCATTATTTGGTTTAAATGCGCATATATATATCTACATCTATCTCATATATATATATATATATATATATATATATATATATATATATATATACACACACACACACACATATAGTGTGTGTGTGTACTCTTAAAAAAGATGGTTCTTTAATAGGTTCTATATACAACCATGAACACTCAAAAACAAATTTGAATATATATGTATATAATACGTGTGTGTGTGTGTGCGTATGTATATATATATATATATATATATATATATATATATATATATATAAATGTATATACACACACACATACGATTTTTCTACAGTGTTGTTGCCGCAGCCTCTCATCACGTGCTTATTTTGAAGTTAATGTTCAGCTGTTCGAGCTTTTCCCCAAAAATTTCTACCCAGTTTGACCTGAAACGCGTGCAGGATTCACAGAGTCGCTGTATCAGGATGGCTCTGTTTATAGAGGAGAGAGAGAGTAAACATTCCTGCACTGTGACAGAGAGAGAGAGAGAAATCATTTCAGATGAATATTAAAATGCACACTCAGCTCCTTCACGCGCTCCAATAACAACAGATTAACGAGAGAAAAAGGGCGATTCAGTCACCGAAGGCAGGAATCGGTGACCGAGCAGAGCTGAAGACGCGCGTGTATCCGCTCCTATAGGCGCTCCGTTCTTCATTAATGATAATGATGATGATGATGATGATGATGATGAGGCGCTGCTGAATGTATGCGCCGTTATGTAAGCTGTATTTTTATAAACTGGGTTGTGATGAAGGGGGGGGGGGGGAGAGGGGTTGGGGGAGGGGGGCACAACTAATTTCACTTTTCACCCGGAATTTGCCCGGCAACAGCGGCTAAATATACACACGCGCACGAGCTCGAGCGCGCGCGCACGCACCCGCGACGTCAGCGCAGAGCCGCGGTCAGCGGCGGTGACGTCACGGGCCGGTTTTGCCGGCGCGAACCCGAGGATTTCTGAGTGGATTCTCCCGATATGGAGAAGAAAAAAACACAAGGAGGAGAGAGAGAGGGAGAGGGAGAGGGAGAGGGAGAGAGAGAGGGAGGTAGGTGGTAAACACAGCCCCTCCTGTTCATTATCACACACTCTCCAAATTAATCAGAGTAAAGCGGAGAGTTCCGGTCCTAAAATCTGATTGGCTGTGAGATTTTCCACCGATGACCGGCTGAACTCTGTATTAAAGGGGAATTCCACCGGTTTTCCAAAATTCCTGCACGGATCGGTGATTCAGATGTGAACCGTGGTTCGGAGCGGTTTGGCTGGAAGTTGTTCCTTTGTAGAGGAACTTCCAGAAGAAGAGCTCTTCGCAGTGGTGGTGATGGGAACCAGACGTCGCGGAGTCTATAAACGGCAAAATACTATTTTTCGTAGCAACGCGTGGGTTTAAAAATGACCTTTTACCCCAGAAAACGTCCGTAAAACGTTTTGAAAAGGCTGTAAACAGAACAGAACTTTCAAACGTCTGGTTCCCATCACCGCCACTGAGAACGGTTCTGACTGTTCCTCTAGAACAGAGCATTTCACACCAAACCACTCTGAGTGACTCTGTTTACATTTTAACCATTAAATAGAGCGCATTGATGAGTGGAACCAGGCAGCGTCATGTACCCTCTTGGTTCTTCAAGGGTTATAGAACCATGAACACTCAAAAAGCCCTTTGCATGCATAAATGGTTCCCTGTATGGTGAAATGGTTCTTCAGATTCAACAAAAAGGGTTCTACTATTGTTACCATGTCAACCTTGTAACAGCAGCAGAACCCTTTTCGAAAAGGTTCTATATAGAACCATACACAACATCAGTCTGAAGAACCATTTCACCATGCAGAGAACAATTTAATCATGCAAATGGTTCTTTAAATATTCGTGGTTTTTATATAGAACCACTGTCTCTGCTAAAGACAGTTCTTTGTGTGTTCATGGTTCTATACAGAACCTTTTTCTTTACCAAGGAACCCTTAAAGAAGCATCTTTTTAACTGTATACGGTTCTATATAGTACCAAAAAGGGTTCTGGTGTTGTTTACGATGTCAAGCTCTATATAGAACAATATACAACACATTCTCCATCAATCTAAAGAACGCTTTTACAACGCAAAGTGTTCTTTTAAGGTTTCGTGGAACTACTGAAGAACAATCTTGCTGTTTTTATTAACACAAAATACGTTTTAATAGGAACGTCCGCTGCCAAGCGCGCGCATAATGCTGAAGAAAAAAGGGTAAATGCGTGCGGTGTGACGTCACCGCTTTTTCATGTTGCATAAAACTGAAAACAAACAAACAAACAAACAAAAACGCTGAGAAACCACAGGCGCCCGTGTTGGCTGGTGTGCGTGAGAAACAGCAGCCTAAACATCAGAGCGCGAGCTGGAGTCGCGCGGCAGAGCTGATCCTATAGGAGCTGATGACGCTTATAGCTTATGTAACTCCGCGAGGAGCATCATGACCATAAAGCGCGAGACTGAAGGCCTGACGTCTGTGTTTGTGTTCTCTTTCTCTCACAGAGCAAACACAGCACTGCAGCTCACTGACAGAGGGTTCTGTTTAGAACCATGAGCTCTATGTAGAACCACTTGCATGCTTAAATAGTTCTCCGCATGGTGAAAGGGTTCTTCAGACTGATGGAGAATGTGTTGTATGCGGTTCTATACGGAACATTTTTGAAAAGGGTTCTATGTAGCACCAAAAATCGTTCTTCTATTGTTACAAGCTTGACTTCGTCACAACAGCAGAACCCTTTTCAAAAAGGTCCTATATAGAACCGTCTACAGCACATTCTCCATCAATCTGAAGAACGCTTTTACAATGCAAAGGGTTCTTTGTGTGTTCATGGTTCCACAGAGAACCATTTTCTTTACTAAGGAACCCCTATAGAACCATCTTTTTAAAAAGGTGTACATGGTTCTCTATAGCACCAAAATGGGTTCTGCTGATGTTTATGATGTCAAGCTTTCAAAGAGGTTCTATATAAAACCATATACAACACATTCTCCATCAATCTAAAGAACCATTTTACAATGCAAAGCGTTCTTTTAATGGATCATGGTTCTATATAGAACCGTTTTCTTTACTAATGAACCCCTATAGAACCATCTTTTTAAAAAGGTGTACATGGTTCTATATAGCACCAAAAAGGGTTCTGCTGTTGTTTATGAAGTCAAGCTTTCAAAAAGGTTCTATACAGAACCATATACGACACATTCTCCATCAATCTAAAGAACCATTTTACAATGCAAAGGGTTCTTTTAATGGATCATGGTTCTATATAGAACCGTTTTCTTTACTAAAGAACCCTTATAGAACCATCTTTTTAAAAAGGTGTACATGGTTCTATGTAGCACCAAAAAGGGTTCTGCTGTTGTTTACGAGGTTCTATATAGAACCATATACAGCACATTCTCCATCCATCTGAAGAACTACTTCACCATGCAGGGAAGCATTTAAGCATGAAATGGCTCTACATAGAACTCTTGGTTCTAAACAGAAGCACTGTTTTATTAAAGAACATTTTTTAAGACTGTAGTGTAAATTTTCTTTTCCACTCTCGCGCATTCATAATGTACAGCGCGCGCGCGCATTCTCGCGCGTTTTCTCCCTGCCACCGGGGATTACATAACATTTCACCTTCAGAGGGCAACGAGCAGCGCGCGAGGAGGAAGTGACAGTGAGACATGAGAAGAACCCTCAAGTCTCCTTTAATGACATCAGGTTCCTAAAGGAACTCACACATCGAGGGTTTAAAGGGCCGTATCACCGAAAACAGAATCCTACCAGACGGAGCAAAGCTTCAGAGCCGTTCACTGACCAGTCCGCACGCGGAAACTGACCACTTTCAATTCTGTTTTCGTGATGTCACAAAAACTAGCACATCTAAATACCGCCGCTTGGCCTACAGTGAAGTTACAAGAAGTGTTTCAGCCTGAACTGCTCTCTGAAGAAGGGCAGCCAATCAGAACAGAGCTCATTTACATATAGGACATATGTAATATATTTTACACGCACTTCAACAAAAACAGCATTTCTTAGGAATAAATTAAGGGTGGTCGTGTAAAGTGGTCGCGTTTACAGTGAATCAGGGCTGTTTTTTGGTACATAGAACCGCACAAACGTCATAAGGAGGAGAAATAAACTGGCCCAAAAATGTGCGATATGGGCCCTTTAATGGAAAAAGACACGGCAGCTTCATAACGTAACGAAAAAAATATGAAAATTAAAAACGCCCCCAACATTAAAGCGGACACTGAGCTGATCGGCTGAAATAATAATGAGCGCACAGAGCTGAGTGTGCACGAGAGTCAACCCCTCCCCCCACTACACTAAAGCACTACTGTAAGACGAATTTAATGACTTAATCAACAATTTAACAAGAAAAAATATTAATAATGAAAAGCAAAATGAATAAAAGGGCTGATCATCCTGGAGAAGAGCAGCAATAAACCGCTCTGCTATGTTAAACATTATATATATATGTATATATATATATATATATATATATATAAACTCCTAAAAAAATATGGTTCTTCGAAGGTTCTTTAGCAAGGTCAATGGCTCTCTTTAGAACCATGAGTTCTATATGGAAGCATTTCTCTCTACTGTATCTATCTCTATTTCTCTAGCATCCATTGTTACAAGCTTGAAGAACCCCTTTTGGTACCATATAGAACCATATACAATACATTCAATCATAATCTGACGAACCATGCAAATGGTTCTTCAAGGGTTCTTTAGCACAGAAGATGGTTTTATGTATAACCATGAACACTCAAAGAACGCTTTGCATGCTTAAATCGTTCTTTGCATGGTGCAAATGGTTCTTCAGATTGATGGAGAATGTGTTGCATATGGGTCTACACAGAACCTTTCTAATAATGGTTCTATTTAGCACCAGAAAGGGTTCTGCTACGATGTCAAGTTTGTAACAGTAGCAAAGCCCTTATGTTTAGAGTCATACACAACACATTCTCCATCAGTCTGAAGAACGTTTTCACTATGCGAAGAACCCTTTAAGCATGAAATGGTCTATACAGAACCAATGTCTTTACTAAAGAACCTTCTGTTCTAGTGTATATATATACACGCGTCACTCACTGTGTTTATGTGTATATTATAATATTATACAGCCTGTAAGAACAGGACTTTTCCCCAGATTAGATGATGTAAATGATGAGTCACTGTAAATGCACAGATTCTCAGAGCGTTTCTGATTGGTCAGTTTTATATTTTTCAGTGCACTTCGGTAAATTAAATTATGACGTGTTTTTTTCGCTCAGCTGATGAAGTCCGCCGCCGTGTCCAGCAGCTCCGTCATCAGGCTCGCGCCGCGCTCGGCCGCCTCTGTGGCGCGCGCTATCAGCCAGCGCACCAGCTCTCCGCAGGCGCTGACGTCACCGAGAAGGCTGTCCGCCGTTGGCAAGAAGCTGAGCGCGGGAGCGCATGCGCACGCGCACAGCAGCAGCAGCGGCAGCAGCAGCAGCGCGAGTCTCCACAGCGCGCGCGAGAAGCTGCCGGTGGGGTTCGAGGCGGGGTGAGGGGAGGAGCTCCGGAGAAGCGCGCCGCCCTCGTGCGGTCCGCGCAGCGCGTCCAGGTCTCCGAGCCGCACGCGGTCCCACTCGGCGACGTCGAAGGCGGGCACGAGCGGCTGAGCGCCGTCCGGGTCCCAGTCCGCGTCCGCGCGCGCCGACAGCAGCAGCGGCGCGTTGTCGTCGATCGCGCGCAGCGCCTCGCGGAAGTCCTGCATGCGCTGCAGAAAGGCGAGCGGCTCGGAGAGCGCGCGCAGTGACTCGGCCACGCGCAGCGCGCGCCGCCGCTCCTCCAGCGCCGCGCGCAGCCGCCCGATCTCCGGGTCGTAGCTCTGCATCACCGCGAGCTTCAGCGCCTCGAAGTCCGCCGCGATCTCGGCGCGCTTGTGCTCGAGAGCGCGCGCCGCCCGCTCCAGGTAGTCGGCGCCGCGCTCCGCGTCGCGCGATACCGCTTGCAGCGCGCGCCGGCGCGCCGCCTCCAGGGCGTCCAGCCGCGCGAGCGCCGCCTCCGTGCCGGGCCAGCGCTCGGCGCCGCGCAGCAGTTCCTCGAAGGCGGCGCGCTCGCGCTCGTGCGCCTCGTCCAGCGCGCACAGCCGGTGGCCGCGGTGCTCGCGCGCCGTGGCGCAGAAGCCGCAGATGAGGCGCAGGTCCGTGGCGCAGAAGATGTTGAGCGGCTGGTCGCGGTGCGCGCGGCACGAGGGCGGCAGATGCGGAGCCGAAGGAACCGCCGGTGGAGGTGGAGGCGACGACGTCGTCATCATCATCCCGGGTAGCGCGCGGATCTCGCCGTACTTCTCCACGACGCTCCGCAGCGCGTAGTTCACCTGCAGGCTCGCCAGACAGTCGCGCGCAGTCTCTTTACGGCACGTGGGGCACTTGAACGGAGACGGCTGCCTCCTCCGGTTCCCGCCGCCGTCGTCCAGCGCGCCCTCGAGGCACCGGCGGCAGAAGCTGTGAGAGCACGGCAGCACGCGCGGGTCATCGAACAGGCAGCAGCAGATCGGGCACGTGAGGTCCTCCTCCAGCAGCTCCATGGCGGCGGCGCGCGAGCTGCAACGGGAGAGCACGGGAGAGAGCGTGAAAACGTGCCATACTGACACGAGGGCGAGAGAGAGAGAGAGGAGAGAGAGAGAGAGAGAGAGAGATCGATGCCTAACTCGCGCGCAATCCCTCGTGCTCATCATCGCGCTCTGACAGAGCATCCCCTCGCGCGCGCCAAAACCTATTCAGTAAGTTAAAAACGTAAAACGTTCACGCGCGAGAGCCGTGACATCTGTGTTTACGCGCGTGAACAGCTGAGTGAGATCCCTCTCGAAAGCATCTGTCCGACTTTTAGCGGCACGAGACGACGTCCGCAACACGTAAACAACATCAGCAGCAGCAGTGGCGGCGCCGGTAACGAGCTCGCGAGCGGAGGATGAGTTTCGTTTTACGCGCTCGTCCTGCCAAAACCGCCGAAAACGAATAACACCGCCAGCTAACCCTCACGCGCCCCCCTCACCTGCACGGTTCGTTGCGTGTGCTGTTCGTCCGACCCGTCCGGTCCGGTCCCGGTACCGGTGACGGTTTATGGCGGGAATCCGCAGGACAGACAGCAGCGAGCATCAGCAGCTGGACCAAACAGCCCCCCCCTCCCTCCTCCCCCTTCCCCCTCACCCCCTCACCCCCCACCCCAACCCAACATACATTCACACGCGCTCACCAGCTGCTCGCTCGAGGCGCACTGGGCGACGCAATCGCTGCGCTTGTTGCTGTGCAGACTTCGCGCTTTCCAGTCGGGGCAAACCTTTAACCGTTTCGGCTCTACACGCGTACGATCCCGAGTGTTTAACGCGCGCGCACGCGCACGCACCGTAAAGGCTTAAAAATACGTCGCCAGATTCCCGTTCGCCAGTTTCATGTTCGAATTTTCCCGTTCCACCTTAAATGGTGCAGCAGTTACGTTCTGGCGCCACATGCCTCAGGCGCCAGAACGTAACTGCTACCCCATTTAAGGTGGAACGGAAAAATTCGCACATGAAGCCAACTTTACCCTCGTCCGCCCCCCCCCCTTCGTTTTTCACCCAGCGCGATGTAAACGCAGACGGTCCCTTGGCTCCGCCGGTTGGCTGTTGCTATGCAAAACATCACAACGTGAGAAGCCCCGTGCGCTCGCACGCACCGAGCCCTCCGCTGATCACCGCGCGCCCCTCGTTTCATCACTTCCACATTAATCGGTCTTTAATTGGCGCTACGAGTTCAGTCACGAGACGCTGGGCTCGCGCTGCTGTTCCTCTATTTAACTGCCACATCACAAAAATCTTTTTTCCTTTTTTCCTCTCTGCAGATCTAAACTTTGTAGCTCCCTATAAACAGAACCCCATCCCCTCCTCCCACCCTCCGGTTTGTGCTCGTGCCAGCTGATGGCATCGATAACCCAATAAGCTCCAGCGTGTCACGTGTGACAGTTTATTTTGACCTCATTTTTTTTCTTCCCCTGTTTCCATGCCATCAGTAAGCGCGCGCTTCCGCTGATTGGTCCAAACCCGTGGAGGAAAAGCGCGTGCTTGGGCCGCTGGGGGCGCTGTGGCGCGGCGTTTTGTTCCACGGATACACTTTTTTTTTTTAGCCCTCCATCCGCACTGAGGCTTAAACTAGACACTCTTAAAGGGGAACTCCACCAAAATTTGTACATAATTAAATGCTTGTTCGGAGTGGTTTGGTGTGGCGGCTCCATTCTAGAGAAACGTCTTCACAGTGGTGGTGATAGGAACCAGACGTCCACCTGAGCAGGTTAAATACACGCTGCCTGATGTCTGAGACACTGTTTTATGATTTGAATCCATTTATTTTAATCCGTTCACGGCGGAGGGGTACATGAATGGCGTTGTGAGGCAAAATAGTCCCCAAAGAAAACTTATTTTTTCAGATTTATGACTGTTTTACCATCATCAACATTACATATAAAACTCAGAAGACTCGTGTAGGTTTACTGGTGGTTTTGGATGGTAAATAAAATGTCTATATTTGTGTTGTAGTCATGGCGACCCCTGGTTCCCATCACCACCACTGTAAAGACATCTGAACCATTCACTGAATTATTCAGAAATTCTTAAACTCCCCTTCAAAAAGATGGTTGTTCCAGGGTTCTTTAGTAAAAACAATGGTTCTGTTTAGTACCATGAGTTCTATATCGAAGCACTGGCATGCTTAAATGGTTCTTTGCATGGTGAAATGGTTCTTCAGACTGATGGGAGTTTCTCAGTCTTGCTGGGTATTTCACACACTGGACTGTTCCATGTTGTTATGTGATGACACAACTGTGTAAAGACTGACTGATATGAACAAGACAACAAAGCAATGACCTACATTACGTAAAGGAGGTCCTTCAGCGTGATTTTCGGGTGTTTAGAAGATCAAATAAAGTGCAGCATAAAAACACATAAAGAAGGAATATAGCAAAAAAGTTTACTCGCTACGCTCACTAAGCTAGGTTTGGTACAGACAGCTCCACTGTTGGAGTAATTACACACACACATACACACACACACTTTCTAAGACGCTTATCCTTCTGGGTCACTGGGGGGAGCTGGAGCCTGTCCCAGCGGTCATTGGGCGGAAGGCAGGAAACACCCTGGACAGGTCACCAGTCCATTGCAGGGCAGAGTAATTAATCAAAAAAATGCATTTGTTCACATTATTGACTACCTTTCTGGAAATGTAATGGATTACATTAATTACTATGTGTTGGAAAAATAATAAGAACACTCAAATCACCCTTTGCAGGGTTAAAGGGTTCTTTGCATCATGAAAAGATTGATGGAAAATGTGCTATAGATGGCTTTAGATTCTACATAGAACGTTTTTGAAAATGGTTCTCTTTTTTTTACTATATATTTGCTATTTAGAACCCTTTTTAAAAACGTTCTATATAGAATCATCTGTAGCACATTAATGCACATTTACTATCAATCTGAAGAACCATTCAAACATGCATAGGGTTCTTTAAGTGTTCATGGTTTTATATATAGAGGACCATTTTCTTTGCTAAAGAACGCTTGAAGAACCGTTTTCAAGAGTGAAGTGTTCAAAAAGATCATATAAGGGAATCTTCCATCGCTCCATATTACACCATTAGACTGGCTTTAACCGAAACAGTGTAATTATTATTGTTATTATTATTATTATTATTATTATTATCATTATTATTACTGTTATTTCAAGACACCATCAGTCAACCGTGTACTGTAAATAACACTAATGTAAATACAAACATCACAGTACTTACAGTATTACACAACAGTACAAGCCTGACATTGTGAACAATAGAAGAACCTTTTTTGGTGCTATCTGGAACCATTTTCAAAAAGGTTTATATAGGACCATATATAACACATTCTCCACCAATCAGGAGAACCATTTCACCATGCAGAGAACCATTTAAGTTTGCAAATGGTTTTTCGAGTGTTAACGGTTCTACATAGAACCAGTGTCTTTACTAAAGAACCCTTGAAGAACCATGAGTGTAAATTTAAACCAATTTAAGGTCATCAACTGAAAATGTTATTTCTTTTTACTATACGTGCTGATTGGTTAGCATCACTGCTACGGACTGCTGATAGGTTAGCATTACTGCTACTGAGTACTGATTGGTTAGCATTACTGCTACTGAGTGCTGATTGGTCATGAGCCGATCAGCTGATTGGCTGAGTGAAGCTGTTCACACTACCTGACGTCATGAACGTACATGAGGCGCCCTTATAAACTCCTATAACTGGAGTTTAAAAGCGCTCAGATGTATGAAAGCGATATCAAAATGTTTAATGCTGTTTTGTGTTCAGGAACTGAAAGGATTCTTCTGTATAAAAAGTGTTCAAGCACTCAAATGGCCCATATGAACCCATTCTATTTGGACTCGATCACGTGCGCCCTCTAGAGTTTGACAAACAAGGAACATCTTACTGAGTGGCAGTTCTCCTCACTGCACATTCTCTCATTACTAGCCAATCACAGCGCAGGAGAGGGGCTCATAATAGCCAAACACAGCGCAGGAGAGGGACTCATAATAGCCAATCACAGCGCAGGAGAGGGACTCGTAATAGCCAATAACAGTGCAGGAGAGAGGCTCCAACTAGCCAATCACAGCGCAGGAGAGGGACTCGTAATAGGCAATAACAGTGCAGGAGAGAGGCTCCTACTAGCCAATCACAGAGCAGGACAGGGGCTGCTACTAGCCAATCACAGCGGCGTTTTCCCGAAAACAGGTGTGAAATGAAACCGCTTTCCTGCACTGATTGAAGTTCCGCTTGACTCCGGCGCTGTAATGGCTGCAGTGTTTACGTGTTGTCTGGGCTGCTGCGGCGATGGAGCTTCGGGCCAGATACCCCTCAAAGAGATGCCCATTGTCCAGCTCGACACGCACCACATGGGTGAGAACACAGAGCAGCTAGCGAGTCGTACAGACCGCCGGGAAAAAGGGTTTTTTAGCTTATGAAGCGGACTGAGAGATACAGCTACCGGGCGAGTCAGGCAGCAACAATAGCAAATATAACCTAAGTTAGCTAGCTGGCTAACGCTGGTTAGCTGTCCTGCTGGCTGAGCTGACTGATCTGTCGTGGTAGCTCAGTGCGAGTGTTAAAGGCGAGTCTACTGTTTTATCTGTGGCGTCATATTAAGCCATAGTCTGTTAGGTTAGCTTGTTAAGCAGTGCTTTGCTATCCTGGCTGTTATGTCTGCTGAACAGATTGCGATCTAAAGATCCTCATCTCATAAACAAGCGCGCTTTTCCATGTTCAGTTAGCTGTATAGGCTATATAGCCAACTCTGCGTGTCTGGTGTGATACGTACCGATTTAAATCAGTCAGCTCTGGCTGTGTGGCGGTCGAGTTCAGCTGGGCTTTTGCTTTTGCTTTTCCAGGGACGGATGTGGTCATAGTGAAAAGTGGGAGGCGGATATGTGGGACTGGAGCCTGCCTCGCCAACGCCCCTCTACACCAGAACAAGAGCTACTTTGAGTTCAAAATCCAGTCAACGGGTAAGCAAGAAGGACCGTTAGGACCAGTAAGGAGTGCACAGTGTCCAGAGGTTTGCAGACACCTGCTGTCCTGTTCTATTCGGCCTTTCCTCTGAAATCAGGAGTATTAACAGGGTGTTTGTTCATCTGTGCTGAAGTAACTGCCTCTACTCTTCTGAGAAGACTTTACACTACACACAGATGGCTCTGCAAGGGTTCTTTAGTAAAAGGAATGGTTCTATATAGAACCATTTGCATGCTTAAGTCGTGCTTTGCATGGTGAAATCGTTCTTCAGATTGATCGAGAGTTTGCTATATATAGTTCTGTATAGAATCTGATTGATAATGGTTCTGTGTAGCGCCAATAAAAAGCTTCTTGTGTTAAGGAGGGCACTCTAAAACACGTAAAGGGGTCTTCTACCAATTTATTCAACATTTCTGTATTATTAAATGGTTAAAATGTCATTCAGAGTTGTTTGATTTGAAATGAAATGCTCTGTTCTTACAAAACGTGCTTACCCAGTCAGATGAGTTCACAGTGGCGGCGATAGGAACCAGACGTCTGAAGACGTCTAAAGGCTCCCCCCACAGAAAGTTATCACATGAAATGGTTATGAATAAGTTTTGAAAACAGTTTTGGCCTAAAATATATTTTTAAAACTACGTTAATTGCGGAGAGAGAGAGGCAGGGAGGTTGTCCGTGAAGACAGATTTCACATTTATGACTATTTTTCCATCATCAACATTATATATCAAAACTCAGATGACTCGTGTAGGTTCACTGGTGGTTTTGGATGGTAAATAAAATGGCTATATTTGTGTTGTAGTCATGGTGACCTCTGGTTCCTATCACCACCACTGTGAAATCTGAGGCTGTAATTTTCTCTACAGTGAACCACGGTTTTGCATGAAACCACTCTGAATGACTTTGTTTACATGTCATTGGTGTAATTATGCAAAAATGGCTGCTTAAACGTTATTAAAAATAAGCATGGTGTGGCTTACTGTAGTGAAAAGATGACATAGGAAAAAATTCCTGGCCTTAATAAACACTGGTCATAAACACCGTCCACTGCTAGAAAAACACAATGCAGAGAGAGTTTTTATATTTTACAACATTAAACACAATTTTTCATAATTTCTGAATAATTCCGTTCTTTCGTCATTCAGAGTGGTTTGATGGGAAAGAGTTAATTGTAGAAAAACTTACAGACTCAGATCTCTTTACAGTGGTGCTCATAGGAACCAGGGGTCACCATGTCTACAACACAAACATAAACATTTTATTTACTATCCAAAACCACCAGTGAACCTACATGTGTCTTTTGGGGTTTGATATGTAATGTTGATGATGGTAAAATTTCGCATAGATCTGGAAAAAAAAATCTTTGGTGATAATTTTGCCTCATAGCACCCTGTTTATAACTCTCCACCATGCATTGATTTAAAAAATGTGGCTTTTCAAAACTGTTGTAAAACAATGGCCTAAACATCAGGCAGTGCATTCATAACCATTCCATGTAATAACCTTTTGTGTGGACGTCTGGTTCCTGTCACTACCACTGTGAACAATTCTGACTCTAAATTTTAGAGCATTTCACATCAAATCGAAAATCAAATAGGCTTTAATGGAGAGGAGAAAGCCTAACATGAAACTTTACAAGCTTATGAGATCGTCCTTTTGGCAATAAGTCATGTTTATCACCAATAGTATATGAGAGAAATCTGGTGCTTCTGGGTTGTTGTTTTATCACATTAAGCCACATTAAGTTTTCTCCTTATAATGGGTTTCAGTGAAGGGAAAAAGCTTGTAAATATAAAAATGATTGCTTTTTCTTTGGATGACAGTTTTGTTCTCTGGCTATGAGACAGTGTTTATCATCAGTATTATGTGAGAGATTTTGGTTTTCCCAGGTCACTGTTTTAGTATGTTAAGCCACGTTTAGCTTCATAGTGTCCCATCAAAGGCAGTTCTACATTTCAGAGCAGTTTAGAGATACAGTACTGTGCAAGTCAAGACAATTGTTTAAAACTATTGATCTGGGCATTATGTTTGTTTTTGCCAGTTAAAAAATGCAACATAACAGTAGAATTAATGCAAGTACTCATAACTACAGTGAAACATACGAATGTCTTGGTTTCAGGAAAGTTATTAATATGTGGTTGAGAAGAATACAGTTAGAAGAACACAGGTTTGGTTCCTGACTTCACACTGCACTCCACCCATCACATGGATATTGTTAAATTCCATCATGGATGGATTAGATAGACCAGGTTTTGGATAGTATCTGTAAATACTGGACTTCCTTGAGGAGAGCTTTGGAAATGGTCAAACTAACACACTTAAAACTAGTCAAACTGATCACAGCGTATTGTTTATTTATTTCAGTTTATTCTGATGTAAATAATGCTTACTTGCCAGATAAACAGCTTTTCAGATCATATTTTTGACACTTGAATAATGAGTATTACTGTGTAAAAGTTGTGTTTATATTGGTGCTGATGTGTTGATTCCTGCTTCTTGTGTAGGTGTGTGGGGAGTAGGTGTGGCCACTCAGAAGGTGAATCTGAACCAGGTGCCTTTGGGTCGGGACAGTCACAGTTTGGTCCTCAGACACGACGGCTCAGTCTACCACAACAACGAAGAGAAGAACCGCCTACCAGCCAACAGTCTGCCTCAGGAGGGAGATGTTGTGGTGAGATTTTGCCAGGGGGGCAATAGCTGATTAACTGCTATATTGGTTTAACATGGGGAGGTGCTGCAATGTATTTAGTTCCAGAGCATCTGTGATGTTGATCGTGTCTGAATCAGCCATGTCAGTACGTTTTTTTGGACTGCGCTCATATCTTACCTGCTGTAAAAGGATCTATAGAAACTATCTATAGAAATAACCCCAAGTTATATTAATTATGCAGGTTGTCATATTGGTAAATATTCCATCATATCTGGTGGGAGAGCAGATTTTATGTTTTTCTTAAAGGATAATTCCACCAGTTTCTCCAAAATTAAACATTTCCCAGTGGTAGTGATAGGAACCAGACGTCCTCCTCACAGAGGATGATTCATTTCTGTAGTCAAGGTTCAAAAGTCATGGTATGGGATAATAACTAAAGCATGATTCCAATCACCTGTTGGCATCACCCGTTTCAAATCACAATATTTATTTTACCTCATTAGTAGCCCTAAATTATGCCTGTCCCACTTTTTTGGAATGTGTTGCAGGCCTGAATGGCAGGAATGGATGTATATTTACAAATGAAAAGAAGTTGATCAGACAAAACATGAAACATCTTGTGTTTGTACGGTCAGCAATGAAATACGAGTCAAAGTAATTTTTTTAAATCACTACTTTCTTTTTTTAATTTGCATTTTTCATACTTTCCCAACTTTTTGATTTGGGGTTGTATGATTTCTTACACTAGTTCTGGTAAAATATTGTTGGTTGTTCTTGATAGAACTGAACCTGAGTGTGCTGTTTTTTATTCCATTCATGCCATTAAACTTTCCCTTTTTTTGTATGTGTGTCCTTCAGGGTTTAACCTACGACCATGTGGAACTGAACCTGTATCTGAATGGGAAGAACATGCAGTGTCCAGCTTCGGGCATTCGAGGCACTGTGTTCCCTGTAGTTTACGGTCAGTTCTTTATTTTGTTTGACCTTTATTTAACCTTAGCTGGATAGCTGGAGCCTACAGATTTATTTAGCTAGACTAGCATTTGTCTGTAGTTAGAAGTCCATGAATGATATAATATTTCGCTGCTGTCAGAACAAAACCTTGTATCTCCAAAATGGTAGCTTTACAGGAGAAGGAAAAAACTTTACTTTTAATGTAAGTCAATGGAACCAGACTTTTTTCCAAATCATTTTGGGCTGTTTCTTTTGCTCCATTCATCATGTAATTTAAATACAATATAAATGACTACAGACATTTTAAATTATGTCAAAAACTGAAAAACATCAAAAGTGGAGATGTGTGTGTGTGTGTGTGTGTGTGTGTATGTTTTATATTTATATATATATATATATATATATATATATATATATATATATAAAATCACCCACAAGGGTTTTTCTGTTGTTACAGGCTTGACATCATAAACATAAAACCCTTTTGGGTGCTATATAGAACCATCTGCAGCACATTCTCCATCAGTCTGAAGAACCCTTTAATCATGCAAAGGGTTCTTGGAGTGTTCATGGTTACATAGAACCATTTTCATTACTAAAGAACCCTTTAAGAACCATCTTAGAGAACCTTTAAAGGACCTTCTTTTTTGAGACTAGATGATGAATCTGAAGGTGTGATTTTCTCTGTTGCAGTGGACGACAGCGCAATCTTAGACTGCCAGTTCAGTGACTTCTACCACACGCCTCCTCAAGGCTTCGAGAAGATCCTGTTTGAACAGCAGATCTTTTGAAGCACCTGCTCCGGTGGGCTTGAGTGGAGCGATGATGTTGGAAAGGATGTTAATGCTCTTCTGACTTTTTGCCATTTTTGCATCTGCCTTCTCTGTTGCTGCTGCCATCATCTATGGGAGACAAGCCAATTTAGTGTGTGTGTGTGTGTGTGTGTGTGTGTGTGTGTGTGTGTGTGTGTGTGTGTGTGTGTGTATGTGAGCGTGTGGGGAAATTATCACTACAGCGGTGAAAATGGTGAAAACACTATCGGATGTCTGTTACATGACAGCGCCAAATGAACGTGTTATTTAATTTTTATTTAATATAGCGTATATCATAATTTTGTACCCTAATCTGTTTTATTTTGCATGTTTCTTTGATTTAAGTTGCCAGAGTCTTTCATTTCATTTTATTGTTTTATTTTATTTTTTTTACAAAATATTTCATTTTCAAATACTACAGTAAGAGAACAGAAACTGACATATTCTCTGATAAAGCTGGTTTTAGAAAATCATGAATGTTAAAATGGCTTGTTTTTGTTTGCACTGTTTACATGTAATCATTGAAATTTGAACCAAATTTACTTCTATCTTGTCACAAATGTGAATAAAAATTATCTCTATATATGTGTGGAAGCATTTTGTATATACAGTATTGGTCCTATATAAGCACCCAAACATTTCCGCGTCATCTCTATGACCATTTTCCAACTTCTCTTTATCTCTTAAAACAGAACAGTCTGGTAATATACACTGATATATGTAAATAAGCTCACTTCTGATTGGCACTCCCTGTAACTTCAGTGTGAATGGGCAGGGACAACTGCTATAGGTGAATACATGTAAATGTGATGTTTTTGTGACCTCACAAAAACTGAATTTGAAACAGGCTGTCTTAGATTCCATATATGGACTGTGTGGAGTGAGGAGTGAACTTTTTTTTTTCTAGCAATGTTTATATACTACATCAAACTCTTCAAAACAATGAATGAAATTTGGTTTTCCATGATATGGGCTCTTCAATGTAGAGAGCTGGATGGTACAGTTCTGCTAAAAACTGGGTCCAACCTGTGTCCAGTAAACTGCTGTTAAGTATTAAGACGTGTCCATTAACTTACTACTAATATATTAACCCAGATAGTTCTCTTATTTCGTTATGTTAGTCCATCTAGCAAAGTACATAATAAGTGTGCTGTTTAGTGAGACATTAGTGGCGTGGGCTGAAATTACAATAAAAGTCGTTTATGATTAACTATTATAAAAACAACAGTCTCTATAGTGAACCATTTCACATCAAACCACTCTGAATGACTCTGTTTACATCTCAAGGACAGAATTATTGAGAAATTTTGAAAAGTCGGTGGAGCTCCCCTTTAAACCAATGTAGCCAAAAGTCAGATTAAATGCCAGTTATTGTATGAAAATGATATTTGCGCTCAATACGTTTTTAAAATACCAGATCTGTTCAGTGCTATGGACGACAGAAAGAGGTTCTAACATTTATTCCACACAGTGATGAAGTGTTAAACCCAACATTTCACGCCTGCAGTGCAGCTCGTCCTCGTTAGATGGACCTTCTCGTTTTGAGGAACACGCAGCAGCTGAGCTGTGTGCTGCTGCAGCCATGGCTGAAAACGGAGCGTTAGAAAATCATCGCATCCGGAGCTTTAAAAACAAAGGACGCGATGCTGAGGTGAGAGATTAGGCACAGTCTGATTTTATAATAACGTTAAGTAGCTTTTAAGCAGCTCCGGTGTGTCGCAGCGTAAGGTAGTTTCTAGCTGTGCAAGTTGACTTCTCGTTGGAATTTTCCGTTCCACCTTAAATGGTGCAGCAGTTACGTTCTGGCGCTTGAGGCGCCATAATGTGACTGCTGCACCATTTAAGGTGGAACGGAAAATTCGAATGACACGACAGCCAGAAGTGGCGCAACTTTTATGGTGGGCGACTCGATAAGCAAGCGCTGGAAGTTAGAGGTGGTTTTTTATCGACGTAGCGATAAAAAAAACAGGCATTTTGGTGAGTTTGTTTAGCGAAATGCACCCTCAGCTATTCACTTGCAGCAGACAGAGCCTAGCTAGCTAGCTAGCTAGCTGGCTAAGCTATGCTAAACGTAAACAAGTCACCACAACAGCCTGGCAGACCTAGCCCTGCACTGTAAACGCAACCTTAAAGGGCACCCCACATTATTTGAAAATTCGACATAATTATATGAGATGTAAACAGTAATTCAGAGCAGTTTGGAGTGAAATTATCCGTTCTGAATAACTGTCTGAATAATTCAGAGGTGTGACGTGAAGTGGTTCATAGTTAGAGAAACTTAAAGATGTCTTTACAGTGGTGGTGATAGGAACCAGAGGTAACGGTGTCCACAACACAAATATAGACGTTTTATTTACTATCCAGAACCTCCAGTGAACCCACATTTGTCTTCTGAGTTTATATATGTAAAGTTTATGATGGTAAAACAGTCATAAATCCAGTGGTGGACGAAGTACACAAACCATGTACTTGAGTTAAAGTAGAGATACCCAAGATTAAATATTACTCCAGTAAAAGTAGAAGTTCCTCCCTTTAGACCTCCACTTGAGATTAATTATGGCTCTAATGTCCTATTATCATTTTTGTAACAAGACTCTGCTTTATCAACTCATTTTAGGTGAAAATACTCCAGTGTCTCTCTTGGTAAACCAGTCTTTTAATAGAGTCATTAATTAGTGACGCTGATGTCTATTAAAATTATCATAAACACAAAACACTGAAGGCAAACAGTTTACATCAGGTAGAACTGAGTGGCTCTGAAAGAACTTCTTACAAACAAGCAAAGTTTCAGTTTAAGATTTATTTGCAACTTAGTTACAAGATTAATAAAAACTTTAAACTCAGATTCACAAATGAGTTTCCTTTACTAAACTGCATCTGTAGGTCTCTGTTCATAAACATAAACTAGACAAAACACATTTACTATAAAATGAAATATTGTTTGTATAAATTCAGAAAAAAGTCAGTCACAACTGCATATGTGTACATATTTCTATATTGTGGTCTATTTACACAAAGGTTGGTTAGAGTCAGGAGTTTCTTCCATCATTTATGTTGAATAGACTCTCCCAAAATTTTACACTGCTGCAAATTTTACACTGCTAATGTTGAACCGTGTGCTGCACTGGGTCGGTATGTCCAACAGGTCAAAACAAGCTCAGAACAAAGTGCGCTGTGCCCTGATTGGTGTTTCTGCTTCGCGCTTCTTTTGTTTTGACATGTGACGTTTTTATACACACATAAGCCAAAAGGAACGACAGATTTCTCATAACGTAGTGGAGTAAAAAGTGAGATATTAGACTTTGAAATGTAGTGGAGTGAAAGTAAAAAGTCACCAAAAATGTAAATACTTCAGTAAAGTACAGATACACAAAAAACTACTTAAGTACAGTAACGAATTACGTTTACCTGTCCACCACTGCATAAATCTGAAATAAAAGTTTCTTTGGGGACTGTTTTGCCTCACAATAGCCCTGCATGTATCCCTCCGCCATGAATAAATTAAAATAAATGGATTAAAAAACATTTTAAGTCAAAACTTTATCACAAAACTATCATAAAATGTCTCAGACATCAGGCGGTGCTTATCTCACCATTTCATGTAATAAATTTCTGTGGGGGAGCTTTTAGAGGTGGACGTCTGGTTCCACCCTGTCACACAAAATAGAGAAAACATTTGTTTATGGAATTGTGTGCAGTATTCATTGAAAATGAATGTAATTTACTGTTGAAAACTGACATCACAAAGAGCGTGGCAGGTCAGGACCCCCACAGGACCACCACAGAGCAGGTACTATTTGGGTGGTGGATCATTCTCAGCACTGCAGTAACACTGACGTGGTGGTGGTGTGTGGTGTGTGTTGCGCTGGTCTGAGTGGATCAGACACAGCAGTGCTGCTGGAGTTTTTAAACACCTCAGTGTCACTGCTGGACTGAGAATAGTCCACCAACCAAAAATATCCAGCCAACAGCGTCCTGTGGGCAGCGTCCTGTGACCACTGATGAAGGACTAGAGGATGACCAACACAAACTGTGCAGCAGCAGATGAGCTGTCATCTCTGACTTTACATCTACAAGGTGGACTGACAAGGTAGGAGTGTCTAATAGAGTGGACAGTGAGTGGACACAGTGTTCAAAAACTCCAGCAGCACTGCTGTGTCTGATCCACTCGTACCTGCACACCACACACTAACACACCACGTCAGTGTTACTGCAGTGCTGAGAATGATCCACCACCCAAATAGTACCTGCTCTGTGAGGGTCCATGGGGGTCCTGACCACCGAAGAACAGGGTAAAAGGGGGCTAACAAAGTATGCAGAGAAACAGATGGACTACAGTCTGTAACTGTAGAACTACAAAGTGCACCTATATAGTAAGTGGAGCTGATAAAATGGACAATGAGTGTAGAAACAAGGAGGTGGTTTAATCTTTGACTTTTGACATTGCAGTGTGTGCAGTTCATATAGCTCTACACATATTACTTACTTTCATTTTTCATATTCATTATAGCTCAGATACTTCATAACTTGTGTTGTTTTTCAACGCTGCACTTCCACGTTTCACATTCACTTCCACTTTTTATGTCCCAGTACTTCTCCTCTTACTCAAATGAAGATTTGTGTACTTCTTCCTCTGCTGCTTGGGGGACGTGCTCTTGGTTTCGGTTCTAATAATGTTAACAAGGCGCAAGGGGCTCGACTAAGGGGTCTGGTTTTGTTATTAATTAAACCTTAATGCCAAGGTTACACTGCACGACTTTTACCCCGATTTTAGCCCTGATTCTCAGTTCTGGCCGAGTCTGTGCTGGTCGGCTCCAGTCTGCAGGTTTTTGGGTCAGTCAGAGTCGAGTCGTGAGGGGCTCCTCAGATTTTTGGCCTCCCGATCGCGTTTCAGATCAGTCGGAGTTTATCAAACGTTTGATTTTTTTCGACCCAACTGTGAGCAAAATCTAGTGTAAACTGATCAACGACTCAGCCTGAACGGATTCATGCAACAGCCAATGAAAACTGAGAGCACGAAGAAAGAAAATACAGCAAGTAAACAAAGAAAAATGGTGAAAAGTCGAAGCTTTTTACTGAGCTCAGTTTAAGGCACAATCAAGTTCATGTACATTTAAACCTCTAAAAAATACCAAACTGATCATGTTTTTTAAATCCACGATCCTCAGTTAAACATGTTTACCTGCTGCTTCTTTACCGTTTCAGCGCAAACGGCAGAGAAAAGCAGCAGCTCCATGTTTATTTGCGACTCCTAGTAATGAGAGAGTCCGAGAGTTCGTGAGAGATCGCGTGAGTTCAGTGAGCTCCATTCGGTTCAGCAACAGCTTAAAAGTTGAGTAGTGTTTGTGTTTGTGAGGCAAATCTGGCCAAAAAAGAAATTCAAATTAAAACAATAAAATGTAAATGAAAACCTCTTTTTGCCTTTTCTTTTTCCAAACATTCGCGCAAATATCCTGAAATAAAATACCTACATTTGCAATTTCATTTTTCACATAACATCATCATATCTCAGATCTGAACTGAACATCAGACCAAACGCCGTCAGACCAAACGGCCTCAGATAAAAGGTATCAGACCCAACGC